ACATGAAAGGCAGGCATCAAAAGTAACAATCTTTTTTAGAAAGCGTGTAATAACTTTGCAGGCAGCCATGCAGGACTGAAGTAACATCAAAATTTGAGGAAACTTCATCAGTAGTCCTTATGCCCTTCTAAACAGATTATGTATTCCCTATGAAAAGGTGTATCTGTCCCGTGGGTCTGTTCAACTAACTCAAGTCAGGCCATTATCATGATGTAAACTGTCACGTATGATTGAAATAGTGTCATCAATAATAGGAAGAATGTGAACTGGGACCCTTGAGTCCTTCAGTATGAAGCAGCAGGTTCTTATAAATAGATGAAATAGGCACCATGAAATGATTTCCCTTTCCCATGAGCCTATTCATCTAGCTCGAGACAAGCCCTATCTATGAGCACATGAGCAAGGCTAGAATGTCCCATCCCTAGTCCTCTACCGTCATGCGTCAGTGGGTGAATGAGGTTGCTAAAGATAGGTCAGCTCCCAGACCCGGTCCAACACCTCAACCGTTGCCAGAAAACTCATCTCCCCCATCCAATGATCAGCTCCTCTCTACCGGTTGCCCGGAGTTCGTCTCTTTATCAAGCCCAAGCTCCCACTGTCGTCCCACCTCCTGGCTGTGTCTATTGGGGGTCCATACATGAGCAGTGCTTCGATAAGCGTCAATCAGACAGTGTGTCCAGACATCGGTGTATGTCTGTGTATGGCCCTGGGATGCCAAGGTCAGCTCATCTAACCATCTTAGGTCCTCCCTTTTGTCAAACCATAATGTCAGGGGCGAAGGTACCTCTTTTTTCCAGTAAATGGGGATAAACTGTTTGGCCATATTCAGGATCTGTATGGACATGGATCTTTTGTATTTAGCTGTTGGAGTGGTAGTGAGGTGAAGGAGGAATAGTGCAGGTTATCTTAGAACTTCCCCAAGATGGCACTGATTGCCTTCCAGAAAGGTTGGATTTTAGGGCAGTCCACCAAATATGCATGAATGTGCCCAGTGCAGCCCGGCGGTGCCAACAGCCACCATCTAAGGCAGGATTACTCTTCTGGAGGAGTAGCGGTGTTTTGTACCATTGTGTCAATACTTTATAGGCTGTCTCTTGGGTCCTGCTAGCCAATGCTCAGTGATGCACTAGATCACAAATTTCCCCCCATTGATTGTCTGTGAGGGTTTTCCCCAAGGGCCTCCTCCCATTTACCCATGTAGCTAGGGGCCGGTAGGTTCCCTTGTGTTTGGAGCAGGGATATAGCAAGGAGACAGTGTGGGGTTGTGGGGCAGAGTCTATACAGTTTCGTTCGAAAGAGGTGAGGGCCCTGTATAAGCCTGGGTGTTGAGGTATGTGATTGAGAAACCGTGTCAGTTGTTTGTACTTAAACCGATGCATGAATGTCCCCCAATAAGTCCTCTAGGGTCTTGAGTCCCTTCCCCTTGGTGATGTGGTGGACCTGGACCTGTGTGAGTGGAAAAAAGCAAGCATAGGGTCTGTTCCCTAAGCCCAGTGGGAAGTCAGGGTTGCTCGTGAGCGGGTACAGAGGGGATGAAAGGCCCAACTTAGGGGCCAACCTATGCCATATGTCAAGAGTGGCCTTGACACAGGGCTATTTACCCGTTAACGCCCTACCCTCCCCAGGTGTCATCCAGATCAGAGTTTGTAGGGAGCCGCCCGTTTGGTGTTGCTCAATGTCTTTCCACAATTTGGATACCCCACTGACGAATTGTTATATGTTTTAAATAAATGTACATACACCCAGCCTGCTACCTTTGGGAGCACTGAAGTGGATCAGCTAGCTTGGAGAGAGTGGAGCTGGCCAGTCGGCTATTAATAGTGTAGGCGGCACTGCTTAGTAATACCAGGGCCAGAATATGACATCACTCTGGTAACAGCATCACTAAGTGGCGCTGGAGGGGGCAGAGCAAGAAGGTCATAGCTCCTTCTCCTGTAAGGTAATTGTTCCTGACCTATTAAGCCTACAAAATGTACTACCCTGCAGGAAAAATACACCAGAATGTTTTATGTCCATCTGGTTTATGAATTTCTACAAAAAAAGAAAATACGGTTTTCTATTGGCTATATAAGACCCCATTATGAAATAACTATTATTGTATTTATTGTAACTCAAAATAAACACAAGGCAGAAGCCCCTTGATAAGATATATTCCCTTGAATCTGAGTATTTTATAAATCCTTGATGAACACACTGTATAGTTGCATAAATGTCAAATGTTCTCAGCAATGTTCTAATAAAACTCAATTATGGTACTACCTTTTGGTCTTTAGGATAACAGCTACAATGATAGCACTGCATTTTGCATCTCATTGAGATAATCATGACATTTTACTGTAATCAAAATGTAATTTGTTCATCATTGGCAAGTTCTTATTTTGTCAGATACACATTACTGTGACATTTTTAGCAAGCTTTGCCTAAGCTTATATTGGAAAGGGAATCAACACCATTTGAATAAAAGGGGTGCTCTAAGCACTAGAACCACTACAGCTTTGAATACTTTCTCCTCAGTTAGCATAAAACCTGTTTTTGAGTAATTTGGCCAAATCCAGTCTCTTCCTGAATTTTTGGTGTTGCTCAGCTAATGCAGATGTGAATGTCTGCGTTAGGCATACAACCTTTTGTCTGTAGTAAATCTGTGTGTTAGTGAGCTCTTCAGTAGGGAGCATGTGTGTGTCAATGGGCATGTCTGTAGGGAGAGTGTGTGTGCATCAGTGAGCTTGTCTGTAGTGAGCGTGTGTGTGTGACAGTGAGCTTGTCTGTAGTAAGCTTGTGTGTGTGTATCAGAGTTTGTCTGTACTAAATTTGTGTGTGTACCAGTAACCTTGTCTGTGTGTGTCATTACGATTGTATGTCAATGAGCCTATTTGTGTGCATCTGTAAGATTGTCTGTGTCTGCATGTGAGTATGCTTTACTGTATAATTTAAGTACCCTGAAAGGACTAATATTTTGAATTACAAGAAGAAATATACCAAATATATATATATATATATATATATATATATATATATATCACACACTACATAGCACAATGACTTATGGGGCTGGCATAGGTTTTTTTCCAGGGCTGCTTCGTATCCCCAGTCTGGCCCTGCCTGCTCCCCTCACTGTGGAGCTTTAAATAAAATAATATTATTGGGGAAATATTGTACCCTGTCTATGCCCACCATGAAGGTTCTGTGCAGAATGAACTTACATAGTGTGGCAGTCATTATAATGGATTTACCATGAAATGCAATTTCAGTCAGAGAGCTCTTTGGTCCTTTTTTAATAATCCCTTTGTTTACAATGGATTTTTATTTGGCCTTTTGTAAGCCTTAAAAACTTAGAGAAGACATTTGATCGGAAGTATAACATTTGTTTAAATTAGAGCCCCCTTGTGTGCTCCTAGGTGTGGACTGGGAAAACATTGCCTTCCATGGGTGGAATGTGGAACCAACAGATGCAGGAAACAGGACACTCTCAGTCAGTGTCAAACAGTTTAAAAAAATGTTTACTTGACTTAGAGATTAGGAACTGAAATTCATCTGAATTTGGGCCAATCAGGTGATATCATATGAATTGGCAAACTTAGAGCCAAAATGTAGACAAATCATGAACCAAATTAATCATGCAATTTTCAGTTTTCATTTGTGATTCAAAATTCTGGCAAAAAAAAAAAAGAAATTATTTATAGTAAAAAAAAAATATGATACATGTCTAGGGGACATTTTTTAAATGAAATGTTAATTTTATTCACAGATCTAGTAAGAAGTGACCAGTAGAAGGAAGAAATATATATACAGTTAGGTCTGGAAATATTTGGACACTGACACAATTTTCATAATTTGGGCTTTGTTCGCCACCACAATGGATTGCAGTTGAAACAACCAAGATGCAATTGTGCAAGAGTGGAGACTTCCAGCTTTAATTTGAGTGGTTGAGCAAAAGTATTGTTTGAAAAGTTTAGGAATTGCAACTGTTGCAACTATTTTCATACACAGTCCCCTTATTTCAGGGGCTCAAATGTAATTGGACAAATTAACACAATCACAAATAAAATGTACATTTTTAATACTTTGTTGAGAACCTTTTGCAGCCAACAACTTCTTGCCTGCTGAAATGCATGGACATCACCAAACACTGGGTTTCCTTCTTTGTACCATGCAGTAAGCAGCTGTCTTCAGTTGTTGTTTGTTCATGGGTCTTTCTGCCCCAAGTTTTGTGTTCAGTAAGTGAAATGCATGCTCGATCGGGTTGAGATCAGGTGAGTGACATGGCGTTGCTGAATATTCCACTTGCTTTAAAAAAAAAAAAAAAACCCCTGGGTTGCTTTCACAGTATGTTTTAGATCATTGTCCATCTGTAAAGTGAAGCCCCATCCAATCAACTTTGTTGAATTTGGCTGAATCTGAGTAGACAATACATCCCTATACACTACAGAATTCATTCTACTGCTTCTGTCTTCAGTCCAGGGGCGGACTGAGAGCCTTTGGGGCCCCCGGGCAAAATTAGATCCCAGGCCCTTTGAAGGCCAAATATATGTGCATTAAATAAATGTTAAATATAACTCATAATACAGCATTCCTTTGGATGTGTATATTGTGAAGACCTGTGTATCAATGCATGTTTGTATTTGAGTCTGTGTGAATGTCGGGATGACTACATGTGCTTTTTTGTATATAGTGTCTGTGTGAATGCATATGTGACAGGTGACAGTGTGTGAGGGAGAAGGTGACAGGTGGAAGAGTGTGGGAGGTTGTGACAGGTGGCAGAGTGAGGGGGTACCTGGTGGCAGAGTGAGGGAGGGAGGGGTTGAGTGGTGGCAGAGTGAGGGGGAGACACAGGGAGTGGGGGTGACTAGTGACATAGGGAGGGAGAGGGGGTGACTAGTGACAGAGTTAGGGAATGGGTGACTAGTGGCAGAGTGAGGGAGGGAAAAGATGACTAGTGGCAGAGTGAGGGAGGGAAGGGGTGACTGGTGACAGAGTGAGGGGATGACTGGTGACGGAGTGAGGGAGTGACTAGTGACAGAGGGAGGGAGTGACTAGTGACAGAGGGAGGGAGGGGGTGACTGTCACTAGTCACTCCCTCCCTAACTCTGTCACTGTGTCACCCGCTCCCTCACTCTGTCACTAGTCACCCCCTCCCTCACTCTGTCACTAATCACCCCCTCTGTCCCTAGTCACCCTCTTCCACACTCTGTCACTAGTCACCCCATCCCTCTCTCTGTCACTAGTCACTCCCTCCCTAACTCTGTCACTGTGAAGGAAGGAAGGGGTGACTGGTGATAGAGTGAGGGGATGACTGGTGACAGAGTGAGGGAAGGGATGACTAGTGGCAGAGTGAGGGAAGGAAGGGATGACTGGTGACAGAGTGAGGGAATGACTGGTGACAGAGTGAGAGAGGGGGTGACTAGTGACCGAGTGAGGGAGGGAGTGGGTGACTAGTGACAGAGTGAGGAAGGGGGTGACACAGTGATAGTCACCCCATTCCTCCCTCTGTCACTAATCACCACCTCCCTCACTCTCACTAGTCACCCCTTCCCTCCCTCACTCTGTCACTAGTCACACCCTCCCTCTCTCTGTCACTAGTCACACCCTTACTCACTGTCACTAGTCACACCCTTACTCACTGTCACTAGTCACACCCTCCCTCTCTCTGTCACTATTGTGGGGGGGTGACTAGTGACAGAGTGAGGGGGTGACAGGTGACAGAGTGAGGGAGTGAGGGAAGGGGTGACTAGTGGCAGAGTGAGGGAGGGGTGACTAGTGACAGAGTAAGGGGATGACTGGTGACAGAGTGAGGGAGGGGGTGACACAGTGACGGAGGGAGGTGGTGACTAGTGACAGAGTGAGGGAGGTGGTGACTGTCACTAGTCACCACCTTCCTCACTCTGTCCCTAGTCACCCCTCCCTCTGTCACTAGTCACCCCTTCCCTGCCTAACTGTCACTAGTCACACCCTCCCTCACTCTGTCACTAGAGTGATGGGGTGACTAGTGGCAGAGTGAGGGAAGGAAGGCGTGACTAGTGACAGAGTGAGGGGATGACTGGTGACAGAGTGAGGGAGGTGGTGACTA